TTGCAAATTATGGTGGAAAATAAGTATTTGGTCAATATCAAAAGTTCATCTCAATACTTTGTTATATATCCTTTGTTGGCAACGACAGAGGTCAAACGTTTCCTGTAAGTCTTCACAAGGTTGGCACACACTGTTGCTGATATGTTGGCCCATTCCTCCATGCAGATCTCCTCTAGAGCAGTGATGTTTTGGGGCTGTCGCTGGGCAACACGGACTTTCAACTCCCTCCAAAGGTTTTCTATGGGGTTGAGATCTGGAGACTGGCTAGGCCACTGCAGGACCTTGAAATGCTTCTTACGAAGCCACTCCTTCATTGCATCCCGGGCGGTATGTTTGGGATCATTGTCATGTTGGAAGACCCAGCCACGTTTCATCTTCAATGCCCTTGCTGATGGAAGGAGGTTTGCACTCAAAATCTCATGATACATGGCCCCTTTCATTCTGTCCTGTACATGGATCAGTCGTCCTGGTCCCTTTGTGGAGAAACAGCCCCAAAGCATGATGTTCCCACCCCCATGCTTCACAGTAGGTATGGTGTTCTTTGGATGCAACTCAGCATTCTCTCTCCTCCAAACACGACGAGTTGTGTTTCTACCAAACAGTTCTATTTTGGTTTCATCTGACCATATGACACTCTCCCAATCCTCTTCTGGATCATCCAAATGCTCTCTAGCAAACTTCAGACGGGCCCAGACATGTACTGGCTTAAGCAGGGGGACATGTCTGGTACTGCAGGATCTGAGTCCCTGGCGGCGTAGTGTGTTACTGATGGTATCCTTTGTTACGTTGGTCCCAGCTCTCTGCAGGTCATTCACTAGGTCCCCCCCGTGTGGTCCTGGGATTTTTGCTCACCGTTCTTGTGATCATTTTGACCCCACGGGGTGAGATCTTGCGTGGAGCCCCAGATCGAGGGAGATTATCAGTGGTCTTGTATGTCTTCCATTTTCTAATTGCTCCCACAGTTGATTTGTTCACACCAAGCTGCTTGCCTATTGCAGATTCAGTCTTCCCAGCCTGGTGCAGGTCTACAATTTTGTTTCTGGTGTCCTTCGACAGCTCTTTGGTCTTCACCATAGTGGAGTTTGGAGTGCGACTGTTTGAGGTTGTGGACAGGTGTCTTTTATACTGATAACAAGTTCAAACAGGTGCCATTGATACAGGTAATGAGTGCAGGACAAAGGAGCCTCTTAAAGAAGAAGGTACAGGTCTGTGAGAGCCAGAAATCTTGCTTGTTTGTAGGTGACCAAATACTTATTTTCCACCATAATTTGCAAATAAATTCTTTCCAAATCAGCCAATGTGATTGGATATTTTTTCTCATTTTGTCTCTCATAGTTGAGATCTACCTATGATGCCAATTACAGGCCTCTCTCATCTTTTTAAGTGGGAGAACTTGCACAATTGGTGGCTGACTAAATACTTTTTTACCCCACTGTACTTACTCTGCCCCGTGATCTTTTGGAAAGGTGCGGAGCAAGTAAATTGTGTCACGTGACTGCAGGATTGAGTAGTAGGAAAAAAGTAATTCATCTATATATTACAATGTCATCTATAGACAATTATTTTTATTGTCTTAATGACACTTTAAAGTTAGCTTTATAGAGGGACAGCTATTAACACATCACTTTTGTCCTTTGTAATGGAGCTGCCCTCTTTATTAAGGTATAGTTTACATAATTCCTACACTGCTTTATGCAATAACATCCATATTTGAGAGCTTGTTCTTATTAGTCTCCAGACTTCAATTGGTGCTCATATCTGCATAGTCCACAGCAATGAAATGTAGACTCTCTAAGATTAAACCCCATTAGGTGGCAAAATACATCATAGGGAGGGCTCATCTGGAATTTCTCTTGCTGCTTGTGTAATAAAGCTATTCATATGGAAGTGGAAGCAATGTATGGCTCTACATTTGTTAGCAGTCAAAGGTGAATCATACTTCTTTCAATGCAGTCAAAAAAGATTCCATTTCCACACATTATTCAACAATTTCTGTGGATATTGTGTGGTAATTTTCTTGTGTATGAGATCTTAGGAAACTATATAGATGTTCACGTTTAAGAGGTTGGAATGATGAAGAAGAGTGGAAGAGGGCTGTAATTTGAAGAAAGCCCTTGAAAAACAGTAACTATGCTGTATAATAATTTAAAAATTAGTTGTAAAACATTTATATGTGTACAATTTATGAAATGCTTTTAAAACATTATTAAAAATATCACTTCTCCAAAGAGAAAAGAAATCCATTGCTGAAATTATTTGGCTGTGCACCATTAACTGTCTGACTTCAGCTGCTGACAAGTTCCTTATAAAGTACAGATTTGCTAAGGTCCTTAGTTTCTCTCGCTATGAAAGTAAACCTACTTGGTTATGTTGAGTCACAAAAATCACAAATCGGAGCCTGGCAATTCTAATGATAAGATAAATGGCACAAGTTAGAGATTAGTCTTTCATTCTTCCGCCTGTGGCATTTGAAGAGGGGTCTGGAGTGGGAGGTGGCGTCTAATTTATGATTTTGTACTACAAGCAAACTGTTGGTTGGGGAAACATTAGTTAGGCATATTAAAGCATGTTTGAGATGTATTTGATGGAGTTTCATTATTGTTTCCCAGCTGTTAATTGCCTCATCAGGATGCAAAGCAGTTCATCAGAGAAATGCCTTCAAAACAGGAACATTAATAACAAGTTATGTTTTATCACTGTTTTTGTGTATTTTATGGATAATCTAGAGGAGATTGCAGTTCTACAAACTTCTTCAAAAGTCACATGCATGACTAGTTAAATGAGTAATTATTACACAGCCTGACTGTTTGGGTTATCAAACTTTTCTGAATGTAGAGCTAAAATACTGTATATAGTTCAGTCGTTATTGAAGCATTGTGTGTTCACATGGCTGTGGGATTTAAAGAGTGGTCTGCTTTTTGATATGTAAGGCTAAATCTATAGTCCCTATCCCTAAATGTAAGGACTGACCCAAACCACCAAATTTCCCTCACTTGATTCTCACTTCACTGTTAATTTCTGGTGCAGTGCTTTCAGAGTGTGGGTACTATGTGGTGCCTTTTAAAGCATGTATATTAATCTTCAGGTCAATGTCTCTGTATCCAAGCAATCCCTGGATCTTGTACTTGTAGTTATTACAGTACCTGCTCCACTGCTCAAACAAGATTTATGTTCCACCTATCTTGAAACTAAGTTCTGCCCCCATCATGCAAGGTGTTGAACTTACTGGTTTACTTTAAAGAGAATGTAGCAGAAACAGACAGGCTTCCTGACATGGTTTCATAATGGTTATTCGGTGAGACAGCACTGGGAACTTCAGTAGAGAGATCTTTAAAATTTAGCCCTCAGGAAATATAAGAATCTAGTTGATTCCTTCCAGATAAATTCTTGCCTAATATTTTAAAAATATATCTCCATAGCATTCCTTATTTAAAATTATGATCTACGGACTATAAATGCTTTCTTGAAGCACATCCTAAGTGTGCATAAGACAGACCTGCTTAACTGTGAGCAGAGGAACTTGGTTAATACCTTGAAATACCTTAATGAGCAGTGCGTGATACCCTAAAATCCTGATGTTCATATCCTAACTTCAGATCAACAAGCTGAGCTGTGGTGTGTTGTCTCACACACTTTTCTCTTAGTCCCTGATGGCTGACTAAAAGGTGTTGAGGCAATGCATACTCGGCCTTACCTTGCACAGAGATTTTCCAGCTTGCAGGAAAACAATATAAGCATTGCAGATTGAGAAAGGTCTTCCTTTAGCAGGTTAACCTTGCAGTTAACCCTTTACAAACACAAACAATAGCCACAATGTGTTTTAGGGAAATATCTGTTGTAGCAATTCTGACCTTTAAGAAATGTTTGTAACACTCTCTGCCACAAAAAGGAATGTAACAGGCTTTTAAAATTTGGTGGCCCCCAAAAAGGCTAGGATCCTTTAATTTCTTATTTAGAGCATGCGGTGATTTAGTATTACAGTTTAAAATATTGTTTTAATGAAAATAAAAACTGGTGAAAAAATATTTACAAAAATATATTACAAAACGGACAACTACCAACAGTAAAATAAATAGCATTAAAAGTGAAACGCTTATTAGCAAAGTTCACCTGGTATTTCATGCACAGTAAATAGTTTGCATATTTATTCTTTGTTTTGATGCAGGCAAGAGCTGCAGATGCTAACAGCAGCAACTTTTTGTTGACCCTCTAGAGCACTGGTGTCAAATTGGCGGCCCTCCAGCTGTTGTGAAACTACAAGTCCCATGAGCCATTGCAAGATTGACAGTTACAAGCATGACTCCCAAAGGTAAAGGCATGATGGGATTTGTAGTTTTGCAACAGCTGGAGGGCCGCCAGTTTGACACCCCTGCCCTAGAGGATGTTGCTGAGCCAACGCCCACCTAATCAAAAAAGCTGAAGGGTATGATTTTTATTATATTTCAGTGGACTCTCCCTTAATGCCAAGTATTCTAACTATATATATATATTTCAAGATGACAGGGTTTTACAATCTGTCAACCAATACATTATTGAATAGAATTAAATTACAATTTGATACACCAAAGCAAATATAAACTGGGTGCATATAAAGGTTAGAAGTTTTTTAATGTGTTCCATTTTGCCTGTTGGACACCCTGGGGTGCCTTGAGGTTTCTTCAGGGGTGCCTTGGTAAAATGCCTAAAAATTGCCCAAAAAGTGTATACAAGCCAGTGGGTGGATCAAGCTTGCCTTTTAGTTACACATAGAATGCATAAAGGTAAAAAACCTTGAGCCTTTACAATCACTTTAAGGGTAGAGAAAAAGTTTGTTTTTTTTCTACAGAGGAATCTCTTACTTCCTGATAGTGTTGTCAAGATGCTAATAACTTATTAAGCTGTAAATGCTGCAAAGCTCACACGGTTCAGACATTTAATGGTCATGTCTTATGCTATTAGTGTAGTTCATGTCACAGTCATATTAATTTTGCCTCAGACTGTTATGCTTTTGATTTAAACAGACAGGAGCAACCTTTTATAAGAAGAGTGGCCTGGGTCCGTTGCCTCAAGCACTGTTTAATGGTGCACCCTTTAACACTGAAGAAATGGATGTGGAGGAGATGGAGACAACTATTCTGCAGAGAATCATAGATGCCACAGGCTTCTTCCAGAGGGCAGTGTTCATGGTAAGCCTATCATTCAGAAAGCATATGAGACAGATATGCCATTCTAATATTTATTTAAAGCTATGTTTACACGATGTGCTGGCTGTCATTTTCTTCAGACATAGTTCACAGAAATGATTCCTCTACGTTATGTTTATTTTGTGTTTGATATAGAGGGCTATAGTTAAGAAAACAAATCCATGTGTTGTAAAATAAAAATGGATCAAGAAAAGCTGACAGTAATCAATTGTTCAGCAAAGACAAAGTAAAGTAAGTATATTACTGCAAATATAGTAATTGGGACCAGTTTCAGTTTTTGAATTTCAGTTTTTTGCCTGTGCCATTACCAGACTTTGAGACCATCTCCGCTTTTATCGAGGTGGTACACACTACATAAAACTTAGAGATCAGCCTGTTGCTTCTACCAGTGCTTTTCCCTGTCTGTTCCTTTAGAATCCCAAGACTGCTAAGACCTTTATGATGCATGCACTGTTGGCAGTCATCCTTTAAGGGGACTATAAGAACTGTGACAACTCCTCCCAAACATCTAGTGACCTTGTATACATTTGAGGAGAACTTTGTTCAAAAGTCAAACTGGCATGCAAAAAAAGCATCTCCTTGCATTCCCTTTGAAGGACAGTGTCACTTTACAGCAGTCCTGCACACCCTCATCAGGGATTTCACCGAGGGCAAGAGGGATGAAGCCTAAGTTTCAGTGTGGGAGGGCTTGCCCCTGTTCACCAAAAATAAATATTTTTTTTGTTACTCCCAAGCCTAATTTTTCAAAGCCAAGTTCAAGCCTGGTTCCCAGCGAGCTCCTGATGAAATCATCTTTGCCGAAACTGGTAGGGCAGAGACTGAACACACGTCACTACACTACACCGCTGTGGCCATCTTGGATTCTGGAACATGAGTTGTTTAAATGATATGAAGTGCCTGGTTGTCATGTTTTCTTTTTAAGTGCTTTACCACATTAAATTTGTGTTTTTAAGTGAGATTTCACTATGGAGAGTGCGTCGTTTTCTTTTTCATGATACTATGTCCAACTGAGTATATATCTCACAGCGATCTGATGCAACAGTACCATCATTTGACATGTGGTTTTGAGGAAAGCTGGATATCTTGGATTGATACACAAGTGCTGGTTGACCACTCTTAATTGGGGGTCACATGATTCTGGTATGACTTTTTCTGTTGTACACTGAGGTGCTGTGTTTATCATTAAGAAATTTGGTGGCATTTGGTATCTACATCTGTCATTTCTTTTATAATTGAAGAACCACTGAATTCACAGTTTTTGGCTTCACATTTGAATTCCTTTGTTTTATTTTTCAATTTGTGGTGACACTTAAGAATTTGGTATATTTGCTTTGCACTATTTTATTGTACATATAATTTAATTTATCCTAGCGCTGCACTATTGTTTTGTGATATTTATTATGCTATTTATTATGGTATTGTACTAGTCGCTATGTTTTTTAACATCCAACAGAGCCCTAGCATGTTTTTTTTTTTTTTTTTCATTTTTATTTATAGTTCCCAGTCTTCCTGTAAACCCAGAAGGACATCTTTTAGCCATTGTGGAGATTTTAGCAACCAGCACCTCAAATGCTTGAGTGAAGCAGGTGGTTTCCAAGGGATTAAAACTAGAAGTCTCTGTCCTGTTCCCTTTGCTGTTCATGTCTTCCAACCTGTTGTCACACAGATAGTAGTTCCCCATGCAGCACTTGCTACTCTATTGAAGCAAAGTGTCATTGTCCCAGTCTATGCAGCAGAACAGTTCCAGTGGTCCTAATCAATTCCCAAACCAAAATGAGTTGTGGTTCCCATCTTGGTTCAGAAGTCCCTAAAATATTGGGCCTGGAAATTCCACCGGGTCTGTCAAAGCCTCTTCCCATCATGGAGACTTTCTTGCTTCTGTGGACATTAAAGATGTGTACCTGCATATCCTCATTTTTCCCAGTGCGTTAGTGACTCCTTTGCTTTGATGTAGGTTCCCTTCATTTCTAGTTTGTGGCCCTGTCATTCTGTCAGTCTTCTGCACTTTCTGTGTTTACCAAGATGCATACAACATAGCTCGAACTGTCCAAACCTTGCAATGGTTTGAATAGATCTTGAGCCATTGCAAGGTCCAGAAGTCAGCACTGGGACTGACTCCTTGCTTGGAAATGTGTATTTCCCCAGGAGAAAGAAACTTCAAACTCTCCACTCCCAGACTTCAGTACAAGAGTTGCCTAAATCTTTTCTTCAGCATAAGAGTTCTGGAGCTGATTGTAGCCTCTTTCAAGGCAGTCCCATTTGCCCACTTTTACTACAAACCCCACAACATTCTGTTGTCAACATTCAACATCCTGGAACTTGGGTGGTCTAGTTATCCTTGCTATGCAGGACACCCTGACTGGAGGGTCATCTGGTTAGAATTTAAGACGGGTGCATGCGCGGCCGGCCAGCAGATGACAGCTCACTGATCAGAGCTCAGTCCGCCCGCCAGTGACATCGCGGCACACACAGAGCCCGAGTACCGCAAACGGCACGGGCACACTGCTAAGGGTCACAGAACCCTCATAGGACATGACTAAAAGAAGAAAAGTAACAGGGCAACTTAGGAGGCTGACTAATTTCTTCCCAGCCCTCGGTCCCTGTGGACAAGATGGCACCGGCTGTGTGACAGGAAGCATCTCCTCACATGAAGGAGACACACGAGAAGGCACAGCATACCACCCGGACCCCAGGCTGAAGGCACCATTATACCCAGGAGACTCGGGTGAGTCCTCTCCTCCCCTGTCTCCTACTACTAGTAGCCCAGCCATATCCAAACCTAGACTGGATACGGATGTCCCCTCTGACAGACAGCCTATCTCTCTACTTTAAACCCCTGACAACTCTCCATCTTTGATTGAATCCTATCCTGCCTCTGACCAACCTATCACGGAAATCTCGATGAAAAACATGCTTCTATCTCGGCGACAAATGTTGCATAGCGACTTCCCGGCGACTTTATCCCAAATTTCCAATACAGTACAAAAGCAAGAAAAACGCATTCACCATATTGAAAACAAAATAGGAGAAATGTGTACCGCACATAACGACCTCATACATCGTTTTCCAAATTATTATGCAAATTCTATTTAAGTGTCACAAAGATTAAATATTTTGTTTTTTAGTTTTACTCATGGATGGCATTGTGTGTCAGGGCTCTTTTGATCACTGAAAACAATCTCGGACACCTGTGATAATTAGATTGGCTGGTGAGCCCAATTTAAGGAAAAACTACTAAAGGAGGATGGTCCACATTATTAAGCAGAGCACAATTTTCAAGCAATATGGGGAAGAAAAAGGATCTCTCTGCTCCGAAAAGAGTGAAATAGTTCAATGCCTTGGACAAAGTATGAAAACATTAGATATTTCATGAAAACCTAAGCATGATCATCGCACTATTAAGAGATTTGTGGCTGATTCAGACCACAGACGGGTTCGTGCAGATAAAGGCACATTGAGGAAGATTTCTGCCAGATCCATGCATCGGATCAAGAGAGCAGCTGCTAAAATACCATTACATAGCAGAAAACAGATATTTGAAGCTGCTGGTGCCTCTGGAGTCCCACGGACATCAAGGTGTAGAGTCCTCCAGAGTCTTGCAACTGTGCATAAACCTTCTATTCGGCCACCAATAACCAATGCTCACAAGCAGAAATGGCTGCACTGGGCAGAAAAATACATGAAGACTAATTCTCAAACAATCCTGTTCACTGATGAGTGCCGTGCAACCCTGGATGGTCCAGATGGATAGAGTAGTGGATGGTTGGTGGACGGCCACCCTGTTCCAACAAGGCTGTGACGTCAGCAAGGCGGTGCTGGAGTCATGTTTTGGGCCGGAATCATGGGAACAGAGCTGGTCAGTCCCTTTAGGGTCCCCGAAGGTGTAAAGACCTCTACAAAGTATGTGGACTTTGACTGACCACTTTCTTCCCTGGTACAGAAGGAAGAACTATGCTTTCCGTAATAAAATCATCTTCATGCATGACAATGCACCATCTCATGCTGCAAAGAATACCTCTGCATCAGTGGCTGCTATGGGGATAAAAAGGAGAGAAGGTCATGGTGTGGCCTCCATCCTCCCCTGACCTCAATCCTATTGAGAACCTTTGGAGCATCCTCAAGCAAAAGATCTATGAGGGTGGGAGGCAGTTTTACATCCAAACAGCAGCTCTGGGAGGCTATTCTGACATCTTGCAAACAAATTCAAGCAGAAACTGTCAAAAAACTCACAAGTTCAATGGATGCAAGACTTGTGAAGCTGCTATCAAATAAGTGGTCCTATGTTACAATGAACGTAACCTGTTAAAATGTTTAAAAAGTTAAAATGTTAAAAGTTTGATTGGAATAGCTTTTGATTTCAGTAAATATTCTGCAAACACAACAAATGACAATTTTCAGTTCTTTAAAACTTATAAAGTGGTTTGAAACTTACTGTGCGTAATAATTTGGAACAGTGCATTGTAAGTTTTTTATGTTTAACAAAAATACTGTTATTAGGAGGTTTGTTCAATAAAATTTGAATTGTACTCTTAATAGTTGATAACATGAGAATTAGCTGACTGTTATTTACATAAATTATTTAGGTAAATGAGAAAAATATAATTTGCATAATAATTTGGAACACTGTGTAGATGCACACGCAGACCAGGAAGCTGAGATTGACCAAATAAACCTCAAACTAGCAGACCTAGAAGACCACTCTAGACGAAACAATATCAAATTCCGTGGTATTCCCGAGTCTATCACAGCAGACACCATAGTCCCATTCATCCAACAACTTATGAAACACATCATCCCTACACTCACAGATATGGAACTAGACTGGGCACATCGAATCCCCAAACCATCATTCTTACCGACCACAATCCCCAGAGATACATTGGCACGTATACATTTTTATCACGTGAAAGAAAAAAATAATGGTAGCCACCAGAAATCCCAATTCAATCCCAGCAACACATGGAAATATCAAGTTATTTGCT